TTTTAATACTTTAACTATAAATTAAAATATCAATAAAACTAAATAGAAGTACAATAAAAACCACGGAAAAGTGTTTGGTTTGATACAAGATCACATTTGTTCATTAAACAAATTATCAAAGTCTCGAAAACAACTGCATGATCATTGTAGCTGCAAAAGGAAGTTAAAATATACTAATATAATATCAATAGCCATAATGTGCGCAACGTGAAAAATTGGAGATCGAAGAGGGTTTCAACTTGAATAATGCTATATGGCCTCCACTAAAATTATAACTTCAGCATGTGCGTTAGGTGATAGATTAAATGAAATGTTAAATTAAAATCACTTATCATTTAATATCATATGGACACCACATAAACTATAATTATAATCACAATGTGGCCAAATAGAAATACTCGATCGACTTTGGTGTATGAATTGATTTACGTAATTATACTAATTGTTAATATTTGATAATGAACGATTGACCAACTTATTCATTTTAGTTTTAAGATTTTAATGTTTATATTTTATTTTATATCTTAAAAATGTAATTTATGAGTTTAATTTATGGTACAAATTTAAATAAATTTTAAAAGGTCCAGTTTTGATTTTAAACCGCCTTTAAAATTTTGAAACCCAAATCAAACTACAGTAGTTCACAATCGTTTTATTGATGGGTCCATGTGTTACCAAATAGACAGGTTCAAAGTGGTGTTTCAATTCGATATTTCGGTTTGGCAATTTTCGCCTACAATCCTACTTTATGGTCCTTATATTGACACCACATTTTTAGTTAATTATATTATATTTTAATTATAATGAAGGTCATCAATCATTGTTCATCATCACACTTATATCCCAAACTTCATTTTCAATACAATCTCCTGTTCAACATTCCGTTAATTCGTATATTTTGTTCTTGATGATTGTTCAGTCCAAAATATCTATTAGGAGGGTATAAAAGGTTTATTTACTTATATTTTTAAATATGAAAAAATGCAACAAATACAAAAAAATAAAAAAATAAATTACCCTCATTTTAAAGCACGAACACATGATGTAAAGTACAAAATGTACTAATTAGAACTTGTTTGAGCCCCATTAAATTGAAAAAATATATATTGGAATAGTATATTGATAGCAAATGTGTGGTCAAAAGAAAGAAAGAAAGAAAGAATTTGAGTATAATATTGTTTTATTAAAAAATGTATGATTGAAAATAAGAGAGAAAAAATGTATTTTGAAAAAATAGGAATCAAACAAGTTCTTAGGGTGCGTTTAATTGCAAATATAAAATTTGCATGGAAAAAAAAAAATTTTAGGCAATTCAATTTTCTAAAACTTATTTGCATGAAAATTGTCAATTAAGAGTGTGTTTGATTGACATGAAAAAATATCATTTAGAAAATAAAATTTTTTTCCTTATTTTGAGGAAAACAAAAACCTACTATCTCCAAATAAAATATTTTCCTTAAAAAAGAAAAAAATATGCATATTTTCAAAAGTTGAAAAATATCTTCAATGGAAAAAAATAGCAATTAAACATTCAAAGTAGAAATTTGGGTGGAAAACTGATATTTTCTATAAAAAATCAATACAATCAAACACAACATAAATGTATGTGATTGATTTAATTTTCAACCTAGAGAATATTATATTTGTTCATTTTTTATTTTTTGGATAGATAAGAGAGTGAATTTCCTGTAAAATAAAATCACACTCTTTTTTAAAAAAATATTCCTTAATTTTGAGGAAAATATAGTCACGTAACCAAAAGTGGGAATTTTTTTCCATAAAAAAATTATCAATCAAATAGCAGAAAAGTCGAATTTTGGTGAGAAATGCACATTTTTCATGAAAAATATTAACAACTAAACGCACACTTAATGTTAAGAAGGGCCATTAATGACACAACGAGCAACAATTAAAAACCTTCATTTCAATTATAATAGAACATTGCTACATGTACATCAAATTTTGCATAATGAGTTACATAATGCTACATATTACTTTATCATTTGTCAGTTTAAAATATAGTCAACTTTTTTATCAAATCATTTCCCTCCACGTCATTTTATGTCATCCTTTATGTACCAATTTTATGTACGAGTAACATAATCTATTAAAATATGGTACAAAGTGAAACGTCATAATAGAGTCTCGTGTTAGCATCACAAGGCACACACACTTCAATTAGAGTCTTAGAGATCACATAAGTTGTTATCTGTTGTCCAAAATTGACTGTCCAACTTACTGTCCACCTAATGATTTATTGACATATTATTTTATATTAACATGTCAAACTTTTCTCTCACTATTACCCGTGCTTAAAAATATGTGTAAAATCATATGTCAATGAATCATTGATAAACAGCAAGTTGGAGAGTCAATTTTGGATAACAAATCTCAACTCGAAATCATATATTTCTTCAAATAATGTTATCCGCTTGTTGAGAAATTAGGATTAACTACGATAAATCAAGGTATGTAGTTTAATTCCTTTAGTAAAACTACCTTCATTAATAATCAAATTACATACCTTGTTTTTTTATCATGGCATCTAGTATATAAAATGTTCTCTCGTTGCTGCTCTACATCATCCACTTTTATTTGTATAGAGAGCACACATCACCACAAGCGTTTCCCTCACAACCTGGCACTCTATTCCATCACCATCACTAACATCATCTAATTCAGGCATCTCATCATCATTATCACTCATTACTTTTTCATTATCATGCAAAATCATTGCCCTTTTATTTGGACACTGAGAAACAATGTGTCTTGATCTTAAGTGCCTAAAACATTTGATATCCCGATTTCTAGAAGGTTGGGAATCCACTTTGAGTGTAACTTTGCTAGCAACTTCCTCCTTCCCCTTGATGGTTCGATCTTACTATTTAAAACAACCCCATCACCCTTATTAGCATCCCGCTTTGGGTTTTAAGAAGGGTCAGAATCTGAAGAACCCGATGGATATCTAGCTACCCCCTTCCCCTTCAACCGCCTCTCCATTTTCATAGTTATGTGTAGCATGTCCTCCAACTCCACATAATGTTATAGTTCTAACACATTAGCTATCTTCATATTCAAAAATCTAGCCATGGTGGCCTCCTGAACCTCCTTAACATTCGCTCTAATCATGGCAATTTTCATCTCATTGTGATAATCCTTCACATTCCTAGATCCTTGATAAAAAGCTTTGTAATTTTTGATAAAGATCCCTATAGTAATTATTAAGAACGAACCTATTCCTCATGATAGCATTCGATTCTCCTCATGTTTCAATAAACATCTTATGATTTTTCCTCTTAGATGTTATTTGATCCCATCAAATGATAGCATAATCAATAAATTCAGTGACATCAGAACTTTTATCGTTGTTGGGCTATGGAATCATTGGAATGAAAACATGAGTTCATGCAATTGAACATGCAACCCCAACAAGAAAGAACGAAGTGAAAAATGACATAAGCAATCACAGAAGAGTAGACTCGAGTTCATCTTTTACCTTTGGGTGTTGATTAGTACTCGCAGAGGACCTTTACAAGCTAATGCCAAACAGATATATAGCTTGTTTGATAGAGTAATTGCTTTAGCTTTTGGTAGAATATCTTACACGAGGAAATCATCATAAATTGATTTTCTTTCAAAAGTTTTTTTAGTCAAATAAAACATTTTGAGAAATTATCCATATTCAACTTCCTAATCTTAGAAACAGTTTTTTTACTTCTCACAACCCATGCTAAAAATGTCCATAAAGGTACTAGAGTTCTCGAGAAATTAATGCAAAAATAATATTTGGTACAATGGAGATCTCGTGAATTAAATGCACATGGTATTTACAACGAAAAAAATAACAATCATCTTTCATTTTTTTTTTTCTAATTTTTTATAGTGTTTTATTTAGTCGCAATGATATCTACTTACACATCTAGATAAAACAAATTATATGCATAGACTAAAATATAATCTCCTTCAAGTGTTACTAGCTAAAGAAATCTTTAATAAAACTATTTTGTGAGCATTATTCTTCATTAAGTTAGTTTGACAAACAAAATTGATACTGTTGGATGAGTCGATGTATCATATGTCGTCCATGTTGATCGTCTTGACCAACAATTTGTAAAAGTCAACTAGATGGACTAGTTTGATTTTGCTCCCGTTTGTTTCCCATTATTTGGCCATTAAAATGAAAAATATGACCGTTATCCATCACATTAAGTCATCATATTTGAATTTATATTTTTAGTGTGGGCCCATAACGACTATATTTTTTATTTTCAGTCTTACATTAATGAGAAACAAACAGGATCTTAAATTCAAACTATGCTCTGTATATTACACCCTCAGTTTAACAACTTTTGCCATTTCCATTTGAGGTATGACTGGATTATGGATAATGAATTCCTTGCATTGTCATCAACTTATACTATCTAAAAATAATGATTCAAGCAGACAAGCCCTTGATTGGGTTTCATTAATTTGATAATACATTTTTTTAAAATCTCTTTAAACAACATATTTTTAAATAAAATAATATACATGTAAATTTAAAACATTTTCTTCTTTTTTAATAACATATTCTTCAAAAAATTATTATTATAAAACTTTTAAAAATAATAATAATTATAATGGATTAAACAAAGGCTAAATATTTAAATAATTCAAAATCAATAGACGTAATTTTTTAATAGCATGATTCTATTGTTACAAATTTGATAGTATTGGTGAATAATTCACAACTAATTGAAATTATTTTCTTTAATAATAATTTTAATTTGGCATCAAATATGAAAATAATACGTCACATTTTAGTGCTTACACAGAAAACGCGTTGTCCGAGCAGTAAAAGACCAAGAACAGGCATACAAGTTAATTCATGTAATTCCAGGGGCATTTCCGTAAACTGAAAAAACCTTCGGAAACTTCTCCGCATCATCGCCAAATTAATCGCTATCCTCATCGTCCATTCCAACCTCCAAACCCTAGCCGCCCACTATATATTCAACTTTCAAAAAATTATTTTCCTCAAAAACCAAACAAAAAAATTTCCGATTCATCTTCATCTCCATTTCAACCGGTCCTATCGTTCTGAATAAAATAAAATATCATATAACTTATTCAATAAACGATATGGAGAATTTAACGGCGTTGTATACGGGGTGGGAGGAGGTGATTGTATCGAACGAGAAGGGGCGGCGGCAGGTCCACTATTACCTTAAACGTAGCAGTGGCGGGGCAGATCTGGTGGTTGTCGGAAAAGAGAAGAGCCCAAGGCACATGTCGTATTATTACGCGGTTAAAGATAACAAGTCTTTGCTTTCGACCTTGAAGTTTTCTTCTCTCTTGAAGCTGCGGTCAAGAAGAGAGGTCATCGATTGGCTAAATACAATTGTTCCGGGTACTTTTTAATTTTGATTTGGTTTGTTCTTTTATGTTAATACATATGGTCCCGGGCATAAAATTTTGATTGGAATAACAAATTTTTTTTCCCCCTCTCTGAGGGTTTTTTCATCTCCGTAAGCGGTACGTTATTAAATCTGTTTTGAAACATTACTTTTGGTAAAAAAAAAAAAAAATCCATCTTTCTCTCTCTCTCTCTGTTGCATGTTATTGGACTCGGAATTATTGAGATAGATTTTTTTTATTTCCGTGGAATCACATGGAAATGAATTTTCCGGGTATAAATTTGCCTTCAGATCTTTAAAAATCTGTGAAATTGTAAAATTATTTTTCAATTATTTCGAAAGCAAGTGTGAATTTTGGACTTAATTGATGTTTTTAGTATGTTCGGGTTCTTTTGTGCCCTTTTTTTGAGAGAGAGGGGGGTTTAGAGATTTTTTTTTTTGGGGGGGGGCTTCGTAGTATTTTGTTTGGTAGATCTGAAAGATATGGTCTAGGGCATGTAAAAGATTCCTGATGTTTTCGCGTAGAAATTTATCCATTTACCGAGGTGGTATACAGGGCGCCTGGAAGATATCTCTTACAAAATGTTTTTAATTATCTTTTCATGATTTCATGTGTATTTTTTGGTTTTCTGTGAATTTATGAAAAATGGTGTTTTTGAAATCTTATTCCAAAAAGGCCTATATATGTAATTTATTATGTTTTTCCTCGATTTGTTGGGCTTGTTGGCTGCGAGCATTTAAGGTGCGCTTGGTTTACGATTCTGTTTTCTTTTTTCAGTTTTGAATTCATTTTCTGATTTCCATTTTGAGAGATTATCCTAAGATTGCGGAAAACATGTTTAGTTTGTCTTTCTGAAAAACAATTTCTAAAAAAAAAAAAAAAAAAAAAAAGGGGGGGGG